TGATAATCTGAAAACTACGCCGTGCGCACCATTGATGCACTTATTTCTTTCTTCACCATCCCAATGGAGGAAGACGGCATTAAGACAAAACTTGAACTTTTAAGCTCATACTCTAGCTGTGATGTATGGTCACATCTCATCCGTTCATTTTGACCGTCAAGTTATAATGGTTCAAATTCGGACCCTCTTAAATTCATATGATGCAGGTGGCCGATGCACTTTTAAAATTGAATTATCCTCACGGAGGTTACCTTCCTGATATCATCATGTTCTCACCAGAACAACAAGCCGGCTCATCAAAACTTGTCGGCCCCGTATTCACGGTTAAAGTAAATTCATGATAATAAAACATCATTGAATTGATTGCATCGCGCGCATTGGATAACTGACTCGTAATTCGTATTCCGAATAATTTATTAGGTCGTTCCAATCAGTGACACAACCTCCCCAAAACCAACCCAACACTTTGTAAGTCCTAATGTTTCTTCGATGCTTGACAAATATTCACGTTTATTTTATAGGCTGATGCATCTCCGGAGGGTAGCGTTGTTTTTGTATCAGCTCCATCAAGTTTGTACTACATCTCTCTAGTTTGGTATACCGGATATATTCTAATGGAACTCTTTTCCTTGTTTTCAGATGCGATAAATGCCGTTTGGGGAGGATTGATGAACACAAGAGCCAAGGTGCGCGGAGTCAAAGGGGTTGTGGTAGATGGTCGCATTCGTGATCTTGCAGAGATTCGTGGCGATGGACTTCCGGTACTTACAAATACCAATCAAATTTAACTTCTTTCATTATCATAATATAAAAGTTTGACGCCATCTATAGTAATAATCTATTGCCATCAAATTTCGATCGCCGATGACGATCAAAGGTATTCGCAAAAGCGACGTCAGCGCTTTCAGCCAAAGCATATACTCGTCCAACAACCTTAAATCAGCCAGTCACACTTAACGGAAATTATGATCCGCCGATTACAATTAACCCCGGAGATATAACAATCGCGGATTTGG